GGCTCCAATTTGCTTTGAAGATTTTTTTTTTTTGGAAAAAAAAAAGGTGGGGGGGGGGGGGGGGGGTCCTTGGGGTGTGTGGGTGCCTATCTAACCCTGATCATGGGTTACCTGGTTTCACCAGATCATGATTATTGTGAAAACAAAGAGGGGATCTTTGTGGAGTGCTGGCAGGTGTATACGCTGCAGAAAGATGCGGAGTGGTTTAAAAAACATCACAATTATTGTCAGAGCAAAAGGACAGATTTTATACAGAGAGGGAGTGGTCTGTATGGTCTGGACAGCAGTCTTGGCATGAATCATAAGAGGAAAGGAGGTGATAAACCTTGGCTTAAGAATGTGGGGGCTAACTGGCAAGTGGCTTGCAGGGCAAAAATTAAGGGTCTGGTTAAAGATGAGAGTGGGGAAAGCTAAAAACTTGTTGAGAAAAAAATAGATATCTAGTAATAAAGGTGGGTGCAATTTAGAAGACTCTCTGGAGGGGCCCTCAACAGCTCCTCCTCCTCCTGTGCCTGTGATGTCAGAGAATAGGGGTGATACAGGTGATTCAGAAGACCATCTGGAGGATCCCTTAAAAGCACCTTCTCCTCCTGAGCCTGTGGAGTCAGAGACCAGAGATAGCAAATGTCATTTAGAAGACCCATTGGAGGGTCCCTCAAATGCTGACCCTCCTGGGGCAAAGGAGGATGTCTGGCTGTATGCACATAGGTGAGAAGGCAGAAGTGGCCTGTAGCTAGGTTAAGAGGTACCAGGTATTCAGAGGAGTTTCCTTTTGTGAACCTGGAGTTTTTGCCATTACACGTGGTGTATGAAGCCATAAGCAGAAGGCGTCGCAGAGCACTCAGGTGCCCTGCACGTGAAAGTAGAAATGGCTCAGGAGAGACCCCAAGTGTCGAGAAGAGGGAGACTCAACTGCCAGTCACCAGGGCAGCACAGGTGCTGGTTGCTAGGGCAACCAATGGAACCAGCTGACAGGAAGGGGCAGGGCTTGGCCCTTCTTAAGCCCAGGCATGAGGCCAGGAGGGCAGTTCCCCTCTGGCAGCCAAGGAAGGGGGAGCTCAGCCAGTGGAGAGAGAGGGGAGAAGCCTGACTGCATGAGCATCCCCTGGCTGCTGCCATGGGTTGGAGTATTTCCCGACAGGGATTGAATGTTGTTCTGACCGGACAGTTTAGCTTTATGTTATAGCCCAGGGGGCTTGTGTTACTGTTTGTTGTTGTTAGACCAGAGGACCGGGTGAGGCTATTAGGGGTTGGAGGAGGCCTCATAGGGGCTCCATGGTAGCGTGGGGACCTCGGTGCCAGAGAGAGCACAGCATTTGGGGTGCCTTGACCCCAACCCCAGAGCAGGCGGTTGCGAGAAGCCCCAGAGCAGGGACAAGCCAGAGAGCGCCAGTGGGGGCGCAGGCTGCGAGACAAGCCAGAGAGCGTCCGTGGGGTGTGGAGTGTGGAATTGACCAAACAATGTCCGGTACATCTGTGAGGCTTGGGGCGTGGTACAGGGGTGGTTGGAGCCACGCATAGCCCATAAGGCTGGGGTGCACCAAGTTGCCCAAGATAGAACACAGACTGGGATACATCAGGGCACCGTGCCAGAGAGGACTAAGGGCAGCCTCCCTTAAACATTATTAACATCAAAGACACGGCGGACAAGATTGTGAGGGTGCTTTTAATATCACCTTGGCACAGTAGGGGGCGTTAGGGGAGTTCACGGCCACCCCTAGGCCCCCGCTCTGTCACAGAAGGGTAGAACAAATTATAGCAGATCTTCTCCAGAGATTCAAGCCTTTCAACTATACCCAGTTATGTGTTGAGACAGATAGCATGAGGTATTGTTTACATTCTTGAGCTATTAATTTAAATCAGGTGACCGCTGACCTGTTTTTAGAGTGGATCAGTAACCTGTTGCAAAGCCAGAGAGAAATACTGTTTGATTTGTCATTCTGGTTGGTTGTGGTAATTGTAAGGTGTGGGTGGTTGTGCCTGTAGAGTCATAAATTCTATCCCCTATTCTTAACCCATTGCTAAAAATAGGCAGTATTTAATCCACCTGAAAACCTTTGATAATAACCTGTGTTTTTTAGGCAGTCTGTTGGCTCTCACAGCGTGTAGTGGAGCCACAGATGCTGAACTGCCAGAAGATACTGGGAATTTAAGGGTGAAGAACATCTGTCTGACTTTATTAAGGTCTTTATCAATAAAGGAGTTCCAGGGCTACACTTTCACAGTTCACCATGCCAGAGGCTCTGACAATTACTTCATAGCTTGCCAGATATTAAAGGAAAAAATGGGAGTGAAACTAATCACCCAGGGCAGTAAACTCCTGTTAATCAAAATGGACAGCCTAGGTATCCATTTCATAAGTTTTTAAAACTTTTTGCTGATGAAATTTAGTAGGTTTCCCTAGGCAATAGGGTTTGAAGGATGAAAAGGATATTTCTCACACTTTTTTTAATACACTAGAAAACCAGAATTAAGTGAGGCTTCTTCCAATCACGGAGTGCTACAGGGTTGAAAGTATGATGCCTGGTGATAAGAAAGAGTTTTTAGAATGATATTAGGATAACCATGATAAGACCTTTGACATGCAAAAAAAACTGGCCTATTATTGCCAGAAGGCCATAAATATTTTGAAGGATGGCCTGCCATCTCTAGAAGAATGAGATTCTGAAACTGACATGGCAGGTAAATCACAAGTAAACTCAAAGTAGTAAATCACTGCATAGGCCTTTTCCAATATATCATGGTGGCATCCATCTGTAGGGTCATGTACAGCTTTATGTTTTTAGGACCCCAGACTATAGTGCTTCTCCTTCCAGACAACTATCACAGATAGAAGAAGAGATTTTCCACACTGTTCGTTCAGTGGCTAATGTACATCTTGGAGAGGAAAAAATATTTAAATCCAGCATGCTTTACAGGGTGGGGAATTTCAGGTAGGCCCTATTTTTTTAGATGGTTACATCAACATTAACAGGAAACCCATGGCCATTGTATTTAATGGCTGCTTTTTCTGCAGTTGTATCACCTGCTATGATGAAAAAAACTGTAACTTGCTGACGGGGACAACCTACAGTTTTTTAAATGACCAGGCAGAGTACAGGGCTGATTATCTCAAGACAATAGGTTTACTATCAGGACCATTTGGGAGCACAAAAGGAGGACCCCATTAGAATCGGACAGGGAGCTCATAGATTTCCTAAGCAGAACCCAACCGCCTTCTCCTCTGCTCACTTTGGGGAAGAACTAACGCCACCTGTCTCTATTACAAAACTAACCCTAGTGAACAAATTCACTATTGTGATTTTACCAGCCTCTACCCCCTTCATAAACAAAACAAAGGAATACCCTATCAGGCACTCTGAAATCATTCATGACAAGCTCAGTCCCATGTCGAGCTACTTTGGAATAGCCAAGGTGAAACTGCATCTGCTGCGAGGTCTCTTTCCCTCTGCTAACCGTCAGAGTGAATGGGAAAGTACATTCCCACTGTGCTGCATCTGTGCGGAAACAAGACAGCTAAAATGCACCCATACTGATGAGGAGAGGGCCCTCCTGAGCACATGGCACATACCAGCATTGAAAAAAGGTATCAAGAAGGGGTACAAGGTAGCTAAAACCTATGAAGTCTGGCATTTTGCTGAAACAGCTAAGACACGTTTTTCACAGTACATAAAATTGCATCTCTGAAAAACAGGAAGTCTTGGGTATCCCTCCCAGTGTACTGACAAAGAAAATGGATATGTGACCAGTTTCTTCCAAAAAGAAGGCGTGTCTTTACACCCAGAGCATATTAAACCAAACCCTGCAGAGTGCCAAACTGCAAAATTGTTTCTACGTTCTTTGTCGGGTAAATTCAGCCAGAAGACAAACCTCACCAACACCAGTGTCATGACCAACCCTGATGAACTCTTTTCTCCTGCCTATGAGATTTCATCTTGTGACTTTATTGATAATGCGACAGCCTGGGTGTCTTGGAAGCATGCCAAAGAGCATTACACACTCGGGTAACACTAACATCTTTATAGCCTGTTTCACCAATCCTTATGCACATTTAGAGTTGTATGAGCTGCTAAACAGATCACAAGACTGGCGCCTGTACCGTGACAGACTCCGTGATATTTGGGAGTCGCAAGCGAAACT